TTTGCCTTACAAATTCCCCTCAAAAAAGAGAGATCCGATAACAAAAACGCTACCAAAAACTCAACCGGCTCCACTACCAATCGAAAATGCGGAGGCAGGAAGCACAATGGACAACTACAAACATTCAACAAAAATTGTTTCTAGGTCCAAATGGCTTCCTCCTTGTGTCGATTAAAATAATAATTGTGGGGAAATGGTCTGATGAAGAAAAGGGAAGTTCAGCTGAAATCGTTTAGTGGGTGACGTAGAATTCTACCCAGTGGTGAGATCTGGTATCGTCCTTTCTGAGATTTCATTATTATCGTTTTGATAAATGAAATAGTGCAAAATTATTAACAACTTTATTATTAGCAGTCCTGATTGTACTTCAAACCACTTTCGCGCTTATTTGATTAAATCTTTGTGATGTCAGCGTCGAAGTGTTGAGTTTTCCCTTCTGATTTAACTTCACTGAGAACTTTGAGCTTCTCGATTTGACTGAGCCGACTGTTGTACTTACCAGCCTGGGCTGCGAAGTGGAGGGGCGTGTTGCCTTCATTGTCCGGCTTGTTAATATCTACACCTGGCAGCTGGGTGATCACCTCTAGCATTGCCAGTAAGCCACTGGACACAATGTAACTTACAGGAGTCTGAAAACCAAACTGTCTGTTATCTCATTTCGTTCATATATTCGATACTCACATTTAATAAAGCAGAGGAGTTTATCAACAAACAACTGGATAAATGTACAGAGACATAATTTTGTCTACAGCCGTCACATGTACGCTGTAAAAATGGACCAACTTCGGCAGTTGCATGTGAGATTCGTACCCCAAGTACTTTGTAACCACTGTTTTTTTACAAAATTACAGAGGAAAAAAAGTCCAGTATAGACAGATCTGAAGACGATGGTTTCCAAGGACTTTGTCTCCTCTCCTCGTCGTATCCAAATTCCGGGCAGTCGCTCTTTCAGAAACGCTATGACATCCAAATGCATCTACGATGGTTTCCCCATCATGCTGGAGGAAAAATGACCGAGGAAGCCCTCCTTCCCCCTACCCTCCAAGCTGGCGTCTTGTCCAGCGTGTCCAGATACCACACGATGACTGCAACTTCAAGGGACAAGAACATACCTCCGATCGAACACAGAAGGGTCACTTTGGGAGTTGCGTGTGACTGACTCTCACACTGTCATAAGGATTCTCGCTGCTTCTTAATATTTTTTGCACCGGTTTAGAACTACAATCAGTATAATTCCAGTCATAAAACGAGATACAGCATAAATTAGCATCAAACCTAATGAGTTATGCAAAGAAAATGTTTGGAAAATAAATGTACATGCAATTTGGGTACATTTTTCCTTTCCTGTTTGTTACACGTCTCTGCGTGCCACAGAACATGACATGGCGTGAGCTCCCACCCAACTGAAACGTCCATAACGCCACACAAACAGAGTCGTTGTATAGTAACATTTTCATTTGTAACAGACACATTGCTGTCTATGAGAGTTTTATTCCTGTGAAAAAGCTCTAATAAGCATGTTAAGTCTGCACAGACTAGTAACACCGGAGAAACATGTTTTTAACAAATGCCGTTCCACTTTTACGGGAAGTAGTCGGACACGTATATCCCATCGGACTCCATAAAAGGTTACGCCCTAAGCCTGACATTTTCTCTGACTAATGTATACATTTTACCTGTTTTGTAGTCGACAGAAACATGCGTAGAGCTGGTCTATTGTCATCATTTCATGAATTATTAAGCTCGCATTTCTGCATCTAGAGATAAAGATAATGCGGAATATTCAACAGTTCACCTTATGGGCAAGATACTTGCAACTGTCATTAAAGGGCTGAGTCAGCAACAACTCCTGGCGAGTGATTTAGTGCGGGTTTATGTGCGTACCAAGGCAGTATTTTTGCTCCTACTGCCCCCTTTGTCTTAACCTGATTCATCGCGTCAGCCCTGCTAACACTTTGAAAGACAAAGCATAAAGTCTTTGAGCAAATATCGAATATTCTCAATTAGGCCACAGTCGATCCTTTCATATACTTGTGAATTCATTATTAATCACCCTGTAATTCTAAGTTGTGCTCTTTTGTCTGACCTTCTGACAGCGCCTTTAAATAAATTATAAAATTAGAAATAAAATTACATAAGAGGTTTTCAATCCCAGGGGACAGTTATCTTAAAAATTGTGTTTGATGAATGTTAGAGAATGCAACATGAAACACATTTTCTACTGACAAATCCTCTCGTATCATAAGCACACTTCCGGAACGCAATCACTTATCTCTGACACTGCATTTGACCAGTCTCGGAATGAAGGCTGTTCAGTTATTAGTTTTGTTTTATGAAGTACTTTGTTAACTTATCAATTGGGACGTTTGCGAGCCAGGTGACGTTTCCAGTTCCCGCCAATAGGACGTTGTAAACATTACGAATCAGAGTGCGTAATGAAAATGCCTACATTGTTTAAATAGTTGCTACATGGCTATTCTCTGTTGCCTCATATTCTTGTAGGTAACTGTCATCAGTATGTAGTAAATGCGTGTCGATCCTTATACGGCTATCTCTGAAACGGATTGGCACTACGACACGTGCATACAAGCCACTCTTGGGGGCCGGGCCCCTCGTAACATGCCAATAAATTTCTTGCCGTATGGAATGAAATAACGTAACGTGGGTGGACTGCTCTGCGGTAAAAGACGTGCGTAATACGTACAGTGGCTCTGTTAGACACCGTCATTATAGCTTAACCTGTGGTGCTTTTGGCACACAACGTCTCGGTGTACTGGTTGGTAATCCTGCCACGTATTAGTGAGGTCAAGGGATCCAGTCCTGACCAGAGGGCGTCCGACTGTCTTCACACACGTTTTCTTCACTTCTCTCAGTCTTTTGCAGCTGCTGGTACTTAGACCACAATCACTACCATTTCTACATTGTTCCAATTAATTATTCATGCAATGCTATGTAACCTGCTATTACTAGTTTAAAACTCCAACTAAGCCACTATTTCATAGAGCAGAGTCCTGGAGAGGCTGATAACCGCTCAGCTGGACAATAAATTGAAGGCCTTTATGGAATCAAAAACTTCATTCTGTGTTCACAAAAGCTCGACATTAGACCCTGTTCTCGGCCGGTTTAGTCCAGTTCATTTCCTCACACCATATCTCTTCATGACGCAAATATTATACTCACGTAAAATCCCATGCCTCTCAAGTGGTCTCTTCCTTCAATGTATCCAATTAATTAAGAAATATGCATTTTATATGCACCCATACGTGGTATACGCCCCCCCCTCCCCGGTCTCATCCCACAAAGTGGACCTACACAGGCCTTAGTCCACTACTTTACTTTCCTTAAGGAAAGAAGTAGGCATATGAGTTGCTACAAATCTTTCAATACGGATTTTTCTTAGGTGAACATCACGGTATCGCCAGTTCTTTAATCATGGTTACGAGTTAAACTGGTTTGCTCTGATATTTACGAGCGAAAGTAATAAACGTCTAGATCAAATAATGGATGGCAAGCACTAAACTGATATCTCATCCCCTTCAGCGCCACGTGTTGATGGATGGACATTATTTACTAGTACACGAGTTGCATGCAGAACAATGGGCTGTCTGGTTCACCAAGGTGGAACGGATCCCATCTGACGACGTGATTTTATCAGCTTCATTCTCATGAGTTCTTTATACGAAGTGCATAAGTGAATACATAAAGCGGAGGTCGTGTAAGTCCTCACGTGTCGTCTCCAAAGCTACAGAACAGATTTCGATTAAATTTTCTATTGTGTTTACAATGAAATTTATCTGGCGACTTCATTTCTGTCTACAATAAATAAATAAATATGAAAAGTGCAAATTCGGAAAGAAAAAAAACCAAACTTCTAATGACGAAGTCTATATGCAAATATCTTAAAAAGACGTGAGGTGCCACGTTACTTGAATTTAATGATACGTAAGAATAATTTGTTCGTTTCTTGTAATGCACGAACTGTCATGTGTCAGTTAAACGAAGTTCTTTGCTACAGTCCCATTTCGTATTAAATATAAATGTTAATTTTTAATATAATAATTAATTAATAGTTTATTAAAGATGTGTAATTTAAGAAGCTTGCACTTTCATTATTTTAGAAAAGTTTATCTTCTGAAACCCCAAGCGAAGATATAATACTTTCACTAGTATAAAATTACTAATCCAATAGTTCTATTCCCACACAATCGCTTTTGATGTAAATATAATTCAACAACTTTAAATGATTTCTAGTTAGAGTTTTCAACAAAAAACGACCTGTATTTGAGAATAGTTTTTTTAAAAAAGTATTTTTCATGTAAGTTATTTGTGTTCTTATCCTCTTTAATATTATCCTCTTTTAGAACGCAACGTCCGTCTGCTTAGGGACTTTTACTTGCTTGTCTGTCGGAATGGCACGTACGTGGAGAAATGTGAACACGAGAGCTAAGACGCTGGAAGTAAAACAGGTTAGATACCTTTGCAATGTAATTGTATTGCTAGTCATCAACACGGGATTTTCAGACACAACAAACCGTAAATCCGGAGACACAAGAGCAATAAATCCTGTCACGTGTCTCTTCACCGAACCCGAATTACGCCTGTCGGCCTGCGTCCAATAATTTACAATCGCTCAATGTTCGTGCTAACACAAGCGCAAATGTGTATCAATTTGGAGAGCACTTACTTTCCAAATACCACATTTTAGCAGTTCCTATCTCTCATTTGTATTCATTCTAAGGTATTTTTAAAGTTTGGTTGTGGACAGAACCAGTTCACAACGTATTCCTAAATTTACTCGGTTATAAATTTTGTTGTTGGCAAACAACCATAATTAATTCTGTCTTGTATTTCATTTTATGAAATGTCAAGAGGAATTCCGCCTCGCTAAATATAAACAGCTGATTGTTCCCACAAGTCATAAATTAGGGGGTAGCAAAGATAAGGGATAGTGGTACAATTTTAAATAAAAGCAGAGAATGTAAAACATACTAAAAAAATGTAAATGTATTTAGACGTGGACATAAGACATGTCCAATATAGGCTTAATAAATGTCGATGCCAATGTCCCTATAGAGAATTATGAATTTTATAGCTTATCCAACGTAAAGGAAACATTAATTATTGTGCGGCATAAAGTTTCAAAGAACGGGGATAATAGGGCCTGCGTAAGACATTACGAACCACGCGTTAAGAGCACTTCCAATACGCAATCTTGATCTTATCGTAAATCTGAGGCAGTTTTTTCTAACAAGAAAGTGTGAAAATACGTAACTTAGCCCAACATTCAAACTACATTGCAGGAACATTATCCTTTCTTTCGAAAATGCAGTTTTATTCATATATCAAATTCTTTTTCCTTGAATAAGTCACTCAGATTAAAAATAATTTGTTGTTGCTTGCTTTTAAGCATTAGGGCATACAATTTAACATCCAGGAGGCCTAAAGAAAACAAGTTTCAGGTTTCGAACGAAATCGAAATCATGTTACTTGTGTTGTGTGCGGTGTTCTTGTTACGGACTCTGGACTCCAGTATCCTGCGTCGCCGCAACGCAGACAGACTCGCGCCTGGAAAGAACCTTGGCGCCTGTTAACTGCAGTGCGGCGGGGACCGCCTGCGCAAGGAACGTCCTTTCGACCAAGATACGCACTCATACCCTTCTCGTGTGCATTTAAGACACAGGCTGGAAGACTGTATAAATGCTTGGGTAAATTACCGACTGGATAACTGATTGACTAAAAGACTTATTGACCATCTAAATAACAGACTAAGCAAACGACTGATTCTCTTGTAATATAACCCAAAGATTCAACACCGATAATATCAGCGTCACTAGACACAATTCTGAATAAGTTCAGTTCGCATCCCCACAAGCTACTTTTCCATTTCAATGTCAGTGGGTTTTTCGACTGTAGACACCCTCGGCAAAATTCTGCTAATGGCACAGTCATTTGAAGCTAGGTCTTGGGTTCATCGAGCCCCATAACCAGCGGGTTCTGGAGAATTTTCTCGAGGACAAAGCTGAATTCGGCCATTCGTCTGTTCCTAGCGCTGAATTTAAAAATGCAAGGAGCTATATCTTCTACTTGACGTACAGCTCAGATGGGGGACGGAGAATCGAGACGGTGTCCTAGCCCATCCGGCAACACTGATAGGCCAAAAATAAGTTCGGCATGTGGAAAAGTATGTCATCCAAAAATCTGTAACATCCTACTAACGAAATCGTTGGTACTTCTGGAAAATATAAATCCAATGATGTCTCTCTGTATGCATAATATTCCAATTCCCTTCACTGAATGATTTTATCAGCAAGCTTTAATCCGACGGCTCCGTATTCGTTACAGAGCTTGGTGTTTAACTTTCTGCGTTACTGTTTCTGATGATAAAATTAAATAAATTGCGTATATTAAAATTTCAAGAGTCCTAGAACAAAATTACTAGCAATAAAATAACCTAATTAGGGATGTTCTTCTTCTTCAGTTGTCATAGACTAGACCTCTGTCCTGTTTTGAATCAGAACTAATTCTGACAGACTCGATCAATTAGATTGCTGGTAGAACCTTGGCGTGTCATCATCGTATGGATCGAGGGCATATTCATAAAGTACAAAAGCGTATTATGCACCACTCCCTTCTTTCCGTTCCACAGGGTTTATATTAATTTTATACGAGTACATATCATCATCATCATCATACAAAATGTTATTTAAAATCTACCACTCCTGTGTAGACTAACAGATGTAAGTTGTACGCTTGCAGTGACTTCTAACGATCACATAGAGAGCAAAATCAGTTACAGATTCGGATTAATTCACATTACGGCCTCTTGTCTGCACACCACACACACAGTACCTGTTATTTTTATGTCGCTGTTACGATTGGTCTCTCGCCCAAGAACAAAATAACACAGATGAAGAAAGTTAGATAACCCAGTGCTGACGAGAATATTTGAATCTGTAAGACAAAGAACAAATAAGCAGCATGAAAAAGTTGTAGAACGAGGGGCTCAATAATCTGTACTGCTCACCAAATATTATTACGGTGGTCAAATCAAGGAGGGCGGGAGGGGCATAAACCCTAGTACGATGAGCGAGAGAGAAAATGCGTACAAATTTCTTGCCAAGAAAATATCAAGCAGACAGATAAGCGTGGATGTGACGTCAACACTGTAATTGTTGCGAATAGGGGAGACTGTCTCCAAGGAACTACGGCCTCTAACGGGCCCACTGTGGCTTTTAAAAAACAGCGTTTGAGTATACAGACTGAATTCAACTAGCATCGATATGGTCCAGTGGTTGGCTCTTGTGAACAGGGATATTCGGGCATTACACGCAGCGGTGATTGTTCTGACCTTCTGAGCGATTATCAGCTTCTCAAGAAAGACCCTCCCCTATCACTGTAGTTATTACAGACACAGCAAATTGCCCTTGGCTAATGTAATGACACGGTTGCTGCTGCTTTGTAAGTTTTATTTCTTTCCTTCCTTGTTAGTAGGTACTGCAATAGGCTATAGGCTGTATCTACATCCTCATTCTGCTTTTAAATATGACGCCTGGCTTGTCTGCAATGAGGTCGTGCTTTTTCGTTATTTTTATATTTCAATCTAGCGTTACGGTATGGCACTCCGTTGGCATATCGAGCTTGGTTTTCAAATAAAGAAAAAATAACGTACCTCAAGATATTCCTTGCATGTCTCTGTTCATCTGTCGCTTGTTAAACTCCTGAAGTGACCATCAGTCTCGTCTGCATGAAATGTTATGTGAGCTCCTTATTACAAGTTGAAAAAGAAGTGGATCTTGGTGTCACCTGCTCGCTACAGCTGATAAATATACTTTATTTATGGACCTATTTCGTCAAATATGAACGTGTTTTTCTTAAATTACAGAAATAAGCAAGATAAACATTTTATATCGTTATAAACCTTTCTTAACACGAGGTACTTCTTTCTAATATGAAAATAATCGATTTTGACGTGCTTAAACATTCACCACAACCGACAAAAGATTAACATTAATCAACTGGTTCAGTTAATATACTAAGTTGTAACTATGTCTCTAAACAGTCTGTAACGCGTAAGTGGTGAAGTGTAAATACTTATTTTTAGCTAGTACTATTTAAAAAAAATTATTGGCATTTCAACAGTAGTCTACAGTGTCTAAAACATCTGTGTGATTCATATCTTGTGTTTGTCACAATTTATACTTCTAGGCTAAACCGCAGATAAAACAGAATTGCATCTTCATAAGGTTTGATACACGTGGCTGAGGACAAGATGTTTATTTTCACGCCTATTTCAGAATGTCCTATACTTGCCACAGGGTACTAAAAATACTGCGATAGAATTTTATTATTTAAAAAGAAAATTTCAGGGAGCAAAGTTAAAAATTCCAAGGAAAATCTTCAGGACTGAATACACGTCGGTTGATTTGTTAATTAACTTGCATGAATTTATCATCTCCCTTCACGTCCTGCACAATATTATTTGGGCGATCAGTAAGGAGGATGCTGATCGCCCAAATAATATTTGAAAGTACAACTTATGAAGCCGCTAGTTATACATGATTCTTCGTTGTCCTGCTACTTCCTTTGTGTTAGGTAAGAAGATTTCCCTGAAAACTTCGTTTTCACACATCCACAATCTACGACATCCTCTCTTTTAGGGCAGGAAACTAAGTTTCATGCCCACATAAAACGACAGACTGTCTGCAACAGTTACTATTTTGTATATCCTCGTATTTAGATCTATGGGAGGGGTACAAAAAAGTAAACAACGTTGTTAAGGCAGCAGGCATTCCCCAATCTCAAACTGGTTTTTATTTCTTCGTGAATAAAATTTTAATATGTTACTGTCGTTCCCAAATTTAGGAAGGCCTTCTCAATTAAATTTTTATTATGACTGTATTGGATTCTAATGATGGGGCATGAAGATACTTAGTTTTCTCTATGTATATTACTTCAGCAACCTCCTTAATAAAGTAATTAACTGAACTGTTCATAATGTTAACAGCATTACAAAGCATCAATCATTCAGTTTTATTGTGTTCAAATTCCTTTGTATCCTCAATCATAATCAGCTCTGTGCAACTTTACCGCTGCGTTCCCTGGGCTGCAAATGTTGAATTCAGGTGATGTGGAAAGAAGTAGCTGTCGTGGTACAGGTGAATTTGTGACACAAACAACGTACTGCTAGGCGTGGCAATCCTTGACACCTCTTGGCAGTGCGTCGCTTATTGTTCTGACATGATAGTTACAAATACCGACCATTAGTATGTACACAATGAATATGCAGGAAGTGTTGCATAACAGAAAGGCAGACCAAGTCATTTCACATTGTATTCTATAAAAGATGTTTGTATTATAATTCAGAAATGGTGTCAATAATAAGCTTCGATCGATGTTGTTCAGAAACAAAACTTAAGAAGACAGATCACACTACACGTACACAAGCCAGATGATGATAACCAAACTGTCAAGAACACGCATCATAAAGTGCGTTTAAGTTCAATGCTTTCAGGATGTCCCCAGTCCGGTTTTCGACTCATAGGTCGGTTATTTTGTTTAGACTTTCGTCGTTTTACTCAGTCTTCCCATCACAGAACTTTAAAATACTCATCGACCTCTCTTATTTTCACATATTTTTAATTCATCACTCATATAATCCAAACATCATGAACGATGATGTTGAAAAATCATCGGTAAATAAACTAAGAATCAACCCATGAATACAGTAGATTGTATCACAAGACAGGGGCATTCGAGGCGCCGTAGTCTTGAATTTAGTCGGACGAATAACTTAGCATTCAGAACGGAATTACTTATCTGTTTCCATTTTTCTGGTGTGAGTCATTAACAGGTGATGTGACACGAAGACAAATTCGAAATAGTGTGACATCCCACAATGTATTTCTATACCTCACAGAGCGGCCCGTTCTTAGAAAGCCTGAAACGACGCAAATAGTAAGAGGTAAGGAAGTTATTGCGAATTATCTGAACGTTCAATTTCGAACGGTGAGAAACCACAAAATAGCTCTAGTAAGGATGGCTGGCTAACGACGCATTAAATCTGATCGATTCTGCTGTTTTTTAGTGTATGAAGAACCACTGCACCACGAAAAGTAACACAGAAGACTTTTATTTTTCGTTTTTCACAACGTTAGCCGGGCTAACACGGTTAATACGAACGTTGCGTCCCTGTGTGAATAGCGTTCTTTTCTAATGAAGAAATAAGAACTCCGCCCACCTTCCGTTCTCTACTTTTTGTTACGTTTACTCACAGACGTTGCATAAGTCTCTCCCCCTTATTCACCTGAAGACAGGAGCTGAATCCAGCTTCCGAAACGTCGTACTTTCATAATTTTATAATTAAGAAATTAGACAAAGTAAAAAAGAATAATTTTACGTATTACAAAGCACCATCGTCAAAAAACTTGAAACTTCAAATACAAAATTTTATTCAGAAAACCCGGAGGGAAAAGACAACTGGAAAACCTAGGTGTGGACGAGACAGTAATAAAATGGATCGAGGGTTTGAAGATGGGGGACTGGACAGAATCGGGCGTGGGACGATTCCTTTAAAGGATCTTTGTTAAAATGTTAATGACATTTTTGATTAAATAAAAGCAGGATATTTCTTGACCAGCTGAGTATTTATCGTCTTTTCAGATATTTCTTGGTTGGTTAGTTACTTAGTTTGTGAGTATTGTGGTCTACAGGAACGTGATTTAGATACAAAGAACAGTCTCTTTGTTGTGACAGATTCAGCTACTAGTAAATTTGTAATAGCTTAGTTCTCCGCCTCCATAGTTAGTGACTGCAAATTATTTTCCAGCGAGAGAAATTTATTGTGGCTGTAGTATAGGTTATGTAATGGAGGTCTGGCACTCCGCCAAGCTGACGGCAGGACGGATGTTTCTTTCAAGCTCGTTATTCTTGGGTTTTAACTGTTCTTCTTCATTAAATTTAATTTAATTTGAGCCTTCAATAGAGCTGGAGAACCTTCTCGTTCCATTGCCAAAATTTACATCAAAAGGCATTTATCAATAAAATTGTCGCGGTTCTCGTCCGTGGGGCATCGCCATTTTTATATTTGTCGTATATGAAGGCGATTAGTAATGAGCAGGATCGTAATTAATACGAACGTTGATGGCTATTTTCTGGGTTGTAGCGCCATGTAGTCTGGTACATGTTTACTAACGATGAGTCTCATCACTCTGATGACGGAGGCAGCAAGGACCTCTGAAACGTCGGTAAACTTCTACCAGACTACACGGCCAAACAACTCAGAAGGCAGCCATCTTCGTACTCACCGCCGTAAATGTATCTCTGTTAATTAATCTGTATCCCTGGCATGTCTGGAATATTGCATGAAATGCCTATTTATTTAGGCGTTGTTAATTACTTAACAATTTGACTGTATCTGCAATAAATAAGGGCCATAAATCCCAAACAACTCTATTGGAGAGTGTGTATTCATACGTGAAGTAATTTTAAAACTTTGGACAAATGCAGCAGTCGGAGAGCACGTTAAAATCGATGCACGCCCGACAGCAAATGCAGCCGACTGTACTATTTGTAACTGCGGAGTTCTCCAGATAGAAAGTGATCAGTTGAGAAACAAACTACAGGCTCCCAGGAGAACAGAAAAGGAGAGAAAACTACGTACCACAGTCGAATTGTGAACACGACAAAGTGTGATAGTAATTCTACGGTCTTCTGCAACAACTGATAAACTTCAGTACTTAACGATTTCCCGAAGAGAATTGAAGAAACTATAAACTAAAACTTGTGTTTATGTGAAATCCTACTCAACTTTGTAAATTAAATGCAATTAACTGCTAAATTCATATCAGTCCTCGTAGCAAAAGCTTGCATAAAGCAGTTAAATAGCTCGAAAGCAGATAAAAACGCCAGTAAAAACGTTATTTGCATTTGTTACGTTTGTCTCAAATGCGAGTGTAAAACTTCATTTCTTCGATTCACTTACAACTTACATCATCAACTGATACGAGAAGATGATCATGAACGGTACGTAGATAAAGATTTTGTACTCCTATATAAAGGCAGGCATTTGCCTGTGGGGACTGAAGAAAAACATGAAAATTGTCAGTCAATACAACCAACAGCCCGGCTAAGATTTGGATAGGCCCATTTCCAAATACTTATCACTACGTCAAGCCGCTCGGTTTTTTAAACTCCGTAGAATCTGCTGTTAAATGAAGATGGCTGTCTTCTGGAATGTTGCAGATATTGGCCGACGTTTCAGAGGTGCCAATTATTTATCGCGTTGTCTTGTTATCCTATGGAAGTGCATGCTTCGCATTGGGCCGATTCCCTGTCTATCGTCGAATCTGCTTAATTAGTGAAAGACATTTTTCAATTTCTCACTATTCCTCTTCGTCAATTTCTTACTGCCAGAAAACGCGTGGTGCATTCCGATACGTTAAAACAACAGTTTGATCAGGAAAGAGCTGGAACTTTCGCGGAAACTAAATGCGATAACATCTTCTTGGGCGACCAACTGCGTCAATTCCGGGCTCTTCACTAATTTACAATCTTAGGCCTACGGTGTATTCCCGTGGCGAGTGCACTACTTCTGTCTTGTTTATTTTGTTGTATTAGCAGTAGATGTTGATTTTATTGATCACTTACACCCACTTTGCCTTATACGGTTCATAAAAGTGTTTCACTGCAGTCCACACTCTAAAATAAAATCATCAATCAACCTTACGTCGAAATTTATATTATATACTTTAATCTCGAAACCCAGGCTAGGGACCTTGATGTTATTCAGGAATACCTGTATATTCTCCTGTTTAACCGTTCTCCATGTTTGTCATTCACATTATTGAAATTTCAGCCAATGACACTTCCGTTCGCCTAATGATGTTGTGTTGTGTGTTTTCCAAGTGCATGTTTGTATACGCCTGCTTCAATGCGGAACGGTCGTACTCGAATTGACACAGGCGACAGCTTATCTACGTCTCGGAAAGCACAATGCAAATATAATGAGATGATTGATTGCTGGGATGCGCTTCGTAAACCAGAAGAGGAGCTAGTATCATCCTAAGCGCACGAAATGCTTTGAATTTCGAGCTGAAAACAAAAATTCCATATGCGTTTATTACAACTTAATCGACTTTAAATGTATCGTCCCATTTACTTCAGCAGATATGGGGATGTGAATGTGTATGCATTTAAGACAGTCATCAGCTTCGAGCTATATTAGTCAAAACTTGAAGTCTGTTATTTAACAGACACATAATTAACCCATAAACTTACTTCAATGACTGCGAAAGGTCGCTCGGTCTGGTGGCGTAAGATGGGATATTATTGTCGCCGGAAAAGTCAGAAAGTTCAAATGTCTGACTTACTGAAGAACAGATATGAGTAATACTGGGCCTAGTTTTCTGGAAGATTTGTTCAGGCAAGTATATCATGATGCATAACGATATGGAACAGGATTAATAACTGAAAACGCATAGCCGAGAGCTGTGTGGAATTGTAATTCTACAGAATGAAGAGGAAGACAAATGCTACGCTGGAATGCGTATATATGTATTAAACTGTTAAATTTGTAAATAGGAAGAGATCAAGCTTTCTTCTGTACAGGAAAAGTGAAAGACGTATCTTGCATGCACTGTTATTTGCACCTGAAAAGGGGTTCACGCAGAAGGAGTAGTCGTTCCCACCCGAAGCATTCAGACCGCAAACTATTTTGCCAATGTGGTTTGCTGAAGGAGTAATGGCGACAGAGGTAAAACCGAGGAAAATTACATACAAAATGACACTTTAGCAGTTTTAGACAGTGTTTGCCTGAAGAGGACACCACAGACTGTGTTGCTCTTGAGCCAGCAGTGTTCATACTGGCAAAGGAATGTAAAGACGCATTCAACTTTGGAGAACACATATTTTTCAAATGCGTTCTGTGTCATTTTGAGTATAAAATAAATCTTAATACTTAATTTTAGAGATACAGACATCTTATTCGAGAGCTACTCACACTGCAGACTCCGAAATGATATTCTCTTGTATTTCGTTAAACACATAAGACGTCTAAAATAGAAGCTGTAAATCTTAATTAATTTGGTATCCCATATATTTCATGTTACGTTCCAATTTTTGTGCAGTAATACCCCACTTTTTTTAAAGAAAACAACAAATTTCTATCTGAGTTTTATAAGGAGAAAGTGGTGGCTATAATGGATCGATGTGAACATAAATTAGCCCAGCATTTCAATATGCATCCTCAGTGCAAATTTAATCGAATTCTGTCAGTTTCAGAGCTAAAACATGTGGGCGGAAGAACAGGCTCCTTAAAAAAATACGTTTAATTCTGAAGATAGTAGAGTCACTTACTATTCCAGACACATATAGAAACTTGTACTTCGAGAATAAGAAAAGGCCAAACTAGTCTGGAGGCGTTCGACTAAAATATCTCATCTTCATGACAAACAAGAAATAAATGTCAAATCATTTTCTTATGTTTTTATCAAGATACACATTTTTTGTCAGATGAGTAGTTATCACAGCAGAAGTAGTGGATTTCATTCCAGACTCAATCGCCAGATGCATTGATGGAAAGGTCGAGGTCAAACGATAATATTTATTGAATTTCTTTATCTCATTCGCAGCATATTTACTCTTTATATTCTGCCAATAATCACGAACGGCCTAGCTTTGAAGTGGACAAATAGATGAAAATTATGAACCACGTCAAAGTAGCAAATCCAGATACAAATAATTGCCCTATGTATCACACAGGGTCTTATCAGTGTAACACTAAAACAGGGATGAAACTAGTCGCAAATAAACCGAATACATCATCAGCATAAATACTGTCTTCAGAGAGCTTGTATGATGTTCACTTACTGCAGATATTGCCGATTACAGTGGCAGCTCGATCTTACAGAAATTGAACATTGGAGTCCCGGGGTCAAATCCCAGTCGAAACATGGATGTATGCCGTCGTTCGACTTTGTTGCACTCTGTAGACTCAGGAGCTAAGAAGAACAAATAAGGGGCTCTAACCAGGTCGACCAAGAAGGAAACAGACATGCTGGATAGAGATCCAATCGCATCGATCACATAACAGGTGACTAATTTGCGAAAGAAAATATTTTTGAAATACGTCTACATTTAAAACGATTACTTGTTAAGGCTGATACTAAATATGACACACACGTATTTTTTATTTGTGGATTAATTTATGGTTCTGCCAGTAAGCAGCTGAATTAAGATGAAGCGATATGATGATTTATGAATTGGAAAGGTTGCCTAAAGAAGTGGCAAGGTATAATTTAAGATAGTCTCCTGTCATTTGCCTCGATGGACTCAAGAATAACCACGAAAACCCTGTCCGTGTCTGGATTTGAACCTAGGCTTTCCAGAATATGAAGCAGGGGTGTTAACCACTCGGTTGCGTCATTCAGTTACACCATGCAATTGGCGTGAAAACAAGCATACAAATTTGTTTACAGTCGTGTTAGTTTTGTTTCCCTTCTTCCTTCTGTGCGATTTTTAAACAAATCTCCAAAATATTAGCCGCCCTTTAACGATTATCTGCCCTATTTCCGTGAACACAGGCTATATAAAAAACGCTTAAACTAAAACTCATGTCTTAATTACACATATTTTTCAAGGCATGTGCCATTATTTTGTAAAATAATCCATTTGTTAAGTAATTTGATAAATTTCTACATGAGTTTCATATTAAGTGGTGGTTGTGGCGGACCAATATAGTCCAGAAATAAAATTATCTAACAATTTTTAGTGGCTCTTCTAGTACGAAATCTTAATTAATTCCGTTTAACTATATGGAAGGTGGAACATGTGAGAGAAAGGACGCAACTTCCAATTAAGATTTTACTTATGAACTTACGTTAGTGCAATGAACGCATGGAAAACGTCGTTAATGAATGCTAGGTCGACTCAAGGAATAGCATTCGCCGAATGCACAGCGAGATGTGTCACCGATAGCACACAGTGAGTGTTCCCCGCTTCAACTAAGATAACGTCAAAGTTCAGGTTGCCTGTTGCATTAATGCCATGTGCAAGCGTTCTAATCCTTTCTGCACGTTTAGCCGCTAACACGACACGTGCAATACGATGGCCCTACTCGTCTAGTAACGAATGGCGTACAGTACGTCCAGATTAACCACTAAAGGTGATCAACATCACAAACACTAGATATTTCTACGTCTTCAATACTAGACTTTTGCTTTTATAACGTTTGCAAGTGGGAGCTGAAGAAAGTAACTGATTACTGTCGAAATTATAGCTGAAAATGATACACATAAAATCATGCCTTCTAACAATCAGCTGACAACAACGGACTTACAGCAGCAAAGCCTGCTTTGAAAGTCATGGCGCATCCAAGCAAATGAAGGATCTGTAGTGTGCAATTTAGCCACGGTGGTCTAGCGGTTAGAACGCTGGCCTTGTAATCCTGGGGTCTCGGGTTCGATTCCCGGCGGTGCCCGAATTTATAACTTGTGTTGGGCAAGGCCGTGGTCTAGGCAACACGGAGTTTTCCTCCGGGGGCTTCCCCGGTTTCTCCGTGGCATCCCAACAATTACTCCATTCACACACAGAAGAAGGCAATGGCAAACCACTTCTGGATCATCTGCCAAGAACGTATATGAACAGGTCCCAGTCCTAGAAAAGGATGGAAGGATCCTGTTCATATGGACCTGTCGTCGGACAGAACACTAAATAATAATAATAAAGTGAACCACCTCTTTAACGCGCATCACTGTTTTGAGACAAGTGATGTCGATACTAACAATCCTACGGAAGCTTTACATTCATAGTGTATCCAATTAAGTACGTAGGCAAGTCATCACACCTCGAGCTATCTCGAAGTGTCTTTCTATCCATATCTGCTACAAATAGACGTTATACCAAAAAATGAGAGCGAAGTCTTTGAAACAGACCTTTTTAGAAGCTAATAGTCACTCAGTTGGCCGAGAAATTCCTAGGCATTTATGGACCTCGAAGTTGCATTATTCGACTATTCACAGATTCATATTTGTGAAAAACAGTCATTAAAATTGAATTTGTTTTCTGGTTACATTACGTGTTTTGTCGGTGCAGTCTTTTGTTTGTAGCACATGTCAGGAAAATTCAGCAAGACTCTTGAAGCATCAGATTGTATGTGATATGGTGACATGGCGATTGCATACTGTACAGCAAGCAAAATAACGTCGTGGCGCCAGCCTTAAATCTGTAGTTGTTTCATTTAACGTAGGGCTAATGGAACGTGGTACGTGTAACAGGCAAAATTTGCCATGATTGTTTTTTCCACACATCAGCTACAATTTTATACAGAACTTCCATTCATGAAAAAAAATACTATTAAGTAGCGGCACACATATTTAAGCCGCATATTGGTATTCTGCACTGGCTGAATTGTACTCCCATCACGTTATGTAAATAATAAGCGCCTTATGGCCTTCAATTATCTTCTAAAGTCGTATTTCGGGAGGGTTAAACGCAGGGACCTTTAAAGTTCTCATGATAGTCATACTCGTATGCTAAATGATACGCCTATCGTAAATAAATTGTTTCTCGCAATATATAATTTCACATTTGTTACTTCAACAGAGCAAACACCATCATATTATGGCCATCTTGTGTAGAAGCAGATCACGTTTTGTGCGTGCTTTTACAAAGTGCATGAAATTAATACATTTCTACGTATTTTTCTGTTCATCAGCCAGCTAAAAATAATTTATTTCCTTCCGATCCACCCTGGTAATAAACCGGCACTGCCTGTAAACAGTGGTTCTGTTCTTAGCTTAATTTCCTTCTTTTTTTGGGGGGGGGGGCGACAGTGCGAAACTTTTAATTTATCGAACAGCGTGACAGTGATAACCGATGGACCACTGATAATTTGCATGCAGATAGATTGTAAACATTCGCACAAGTGATTGCGACTTCCTATTCCCAAGTTAACATGGCAACGAACGACGCAACACTTTTAAATTGCAACCCTTAAATTTAAAGTAGATATTCTTCCCAAAATATTCTTACATATGATTTTATATAACATTCTTATACAACATTTAAATTGTGTGTATGCTTGCATGCCCATTTCTACGCCGATAACGGACGGATTCACTGATTTGCACGAAAATGGACACGATTATTCCTCGAGACAAGAAAGATAACACAGGAAGATCTAAATTCCAGAAAAATGTCTCGAGTTCGAATGAGGCTGATAGCGGTTCCTGTAGCTCGTAAACTAAGCATTACAAACAACAGCAACAACAAAGTTGTCTGCTTCGAAGAGGAGATTACAGAAACGAAGGCCGTAACCCCCAAAACTGTACTGGTTTAAATTCCAAATAAAGTGATCTGCTTTCTTTGTTTTATTAAGTCTTTTTTTCTGTGGCTGGGTAAGCAAGTATTATAAAAGCACGGCGCCAAGAACAAAGTTGTTTGTTTCGGTGATGAGATTACACGGGCTAAGGGGGGAAAAACCCCGAAAATTGTCCCGATGAAGATGTTTGGTTTAGGGATTTGTTTTTCCCCGTTTACATCCAATGATTCGTATTGAGTGATCACGCCTGTGGAAAGCTTTCGGCCAATACAGACGCAAAAACTAGAAGCATTCGTCGAATTTCCCCGCAGTTACACTGCGTGCAACACTGCTAGTAGTAGTAGTAGTAGTAGTAGTAGTAGTAGTAGTAGATGCGAGTAGGATTCGATCATCTGACAAACTACACAAGATATTAGCAAGATTTTAACCCACGAGCTAAATTACATTTTACTGTGTGCACATAAACTTGCATTGCCTAAACGCCACAGAATAAACAAGATTTGTGGGACTGGAGGTCTGAGCAATAGGAAAGTGGGCTTTATGAGTTCCAGGTGGTACTCTTTTTACACATTCTCATTTCAGTCAGCAAATCGTTGTCTCACAGACACGGAAAGGAACAAGCTAACAGAAAACCACCAAAGGCGTGTTATTATAGTGTTTAATGACAGTAGAAACTATTCTCCGACTAATAACGAAACTGACAAAACTAATACAGAAATTGTAGAGGAGTTGAAAATAGTCCCAGTATTAGAAAAAATAGAAAATGATAAAACAAAATGGTTTGAACATGTAGACAGAATGGCAAGAAGCAGCAGGCTACCCAAAATTTTAAGAAATTTAAGAAGAAGGAGTCTGGGAAGACCTCTGAAGAGGTTTTTGAAAAAGTGAAGCCGGAACAATGGCCTAACTCCCTGAAAGCTACATGATGGTGATGACCTTCTTGCGACTTTGCATTCCTCACAGATCTTTATGTTTATTTATTACAAATTTAAATCTATTACTGTAAATTCAACTTCATTACATATATGTATAAGAGATTATTTTCGGTTGTGTTTCGTTAAATATTTAGGCATACAAAATCTAAATATGTTTCTCATAATGAGATCTATGTTTATGCTACGTACTATTTTTTTGTTGTTGCAAGAAATGTTTATCAAATAAGATTTTTTTAAAAAAATTACGAGTTGCATTTGCTTTGGACCGAGGCGAACCAAAATAAAATTTTGTCCTGCAAATTTAGCGTAGGCATTCAATACCAAATGCCATCGAAATGTGGTCAGCTTGTTTATACAGCGTGTGCAAAGAATGCGAAAACGATACAGGTACAAGCAGAAGACTTAGAGTCACTCACCCTCCCGCTGCTGTCTTGGCAGTTGAGGTCTTCGGCCGGCAG